AGCATATTATTCATGATAAATGATGGTTACCATGGCAACAATAATTTTCATTATGATGATCTTGATCTTATTTAGCATATTATTCATGATAAATAATGGTTGCTATGGCAACCATTATCATCATTTTGATGATAATGATCAAAATTAACATATTAATCATAACAAATTATGGTTGCAATTTCATAAAAAATGATCATTATGATGATTTTGAACCTATTTAGCATATTATTCATGATAAATGATGATTACCATGGCAACCATTTTTTTATTATGATGATCTTGATCATATTTAGCTTATTTTTCATAATAAATGAAGGTTATTATGGCAGCTATAATTTTCATTATTATGATCTTGATCATATTTAGCATATTATTCATGATTAATAATGGTTGCTATGGGAACCATTATCATCATTTTGATGATAATGATCAAAATTAACACATTAATCATAATAAATTATGGTTGCAATTTCATAAAAAATTATTAATATGATGATTTTGAAGGTATTTAACATATTATTCATGATAAATGATGGTTACCATGGCAGCCATTTTTTTTATTAAGATGATCTTGATCATTTTAGCTTTTATCGCTTCCCTTTATATCTAAAAGATACCTTGTCATGACGAGCTCGGTTTTCTGTGCTCTAGATCTCGTACAAAAACAACTCAGACACAGAGTTGGAATTATTTTGGCAATGTGCGTAATTGTCTAACGCACATGCCGATTTATTAAATTTTTCGTAACAACAAATTAATTATTAATCAACAAACAATAAATTCAATTACTAAACAATTTGCACAGAAAAGGTGGGGCTAATTTAAACGCCCTACCGAATATACTAAGATACCTTTACATTAAGCTCGCGTGAGAAAACAGGGAGGAGGGCGGGTTCAAATTTGATCTGTAATGACCTTGTCGAAGCGAGGAGCAGAATGAATTTGCATTACATTCTGCTCTTTATCTATACTGACCCTCATCTTCGCTTTCCCAGGCATTACCTATATGTCATCAGAATTCCAGGGAAATTACCTGCGCGTCAAACTAAAGTATTTAATCCACTTTATTATAAAGTCTCAAGTGCAGGAAGCAATATAAATTCTTTACTGGTATGCCAATAATTCCTTTATCGCTTCCCTTCATATCTAAAAGATACCTTGTCATGACGAGCTCGGTTTTCTGTGTTCTAGATCTCGTACAAAAACAACTCAGACACAGAGTTGGAATAATTTTGGCAATGTGCGTAATTGTCTAACGCACATGCCGATTTATTAATTTTTACTTAAAACGCGTTCCAAACTATTTTCAACAATTCCAAACTACTAAATTCACAAAAAATATTATTGATTTTGCAGATTTTGACTAATTTTTCTGCACAGTTTAACCCAAAATATTTAATAGGTATAATTTTCCTTTAATTTCAGAAGAAAAAGTGGTTTTTGAGGTAAATTTGAAAAAATATTTTCTTGCAATTTTGCAGAAGGGAAAATTTACTGTTTAATTTAGTAGTAGTTTAGTAGATATTTGCAAACTGTATATATTTCCAACTTGAAATCAATGAATATATGAAAATTTAGAGAAAAGATTAAATCTCCATTTTCTAAACTTATATTTTCTTCAAAATGCGAAAACTATGTTTAAAAAGAACAGGAAAAATAAAATGGTTAAATTAATACCAAAAAAAACTCTGAATTTCTGACAACCATTTTACTCGCAGAGGTGCAATTATAAAAAAAAATGGGAAAATGATTACAAAATGGGACTCCGAATTTCGGACATCCCATTTTGTTTGCAGTAAAGGAAATAATCATGGCAAAATGATTACAAAAAGGGACTCCGAATTTCAGAGACCCAATTTAATTTCTAATGCAATGAGACATTCATAACAAAATGGCAGAATGGTTACCAAAATGGACTCTGAATTTCGGACACCCATTTTGTTTGTAAGAAAGTAAATAATTATGAAAAAATGGCAAGATTATTACAAAAAGGGACTCCTAATTTCAGACACCCAATTTCCTAATGCAATGGGACATTTATAACAAAATGGCAGAATGGTTACCAAAATAGACTCCGAATTTCGGACACCCATTTTGTTCGCAATAAAGGCAATAATTATGAAAAAATGGCAAAATGATGACAAAAAAGGACTCCGAATTTCAGAGACCTAATTTAATTTCTAATGCAATAGGACATTCATAAAAAAATGGCATAATTGTTACCAAAATGGACTCCGAATTTCGGACACCCATTTTGTTTGTAAGAAAGTAAATAATTATGAAAAAATGGCAAAATTATTACAAAAAGGACTCCGAATTTCAGACACCCAATTTGCTAATGCAATGGGACATTTATAACAAAATGGCAGATTGGTTACCAAAATAGACTCCGAATTTCGGACACCCATTTTTTCGCAATAAAGTAAATAATTATGAAAAAATGGTAAAATGATGACAAAAAAGGACTCCGAATTTCAGACACCCATTTTGATTACAATAGGGCAATTGTACGAAAAGGGCACAATGGTTGCTAAAGAGGACTCCAAATTTTGGACACCCATTTTGTTTGCAACAAAGTAAAAGGCAAAAGGCAAAATGATTAATACAAAAAGGAACCCTAAATTTCAGTCATTTACACCTTCTTCCAAATGGAATCATACAGTAATAGGAAATTGATTAGTAATAGGAGAGTCAACAAATCTTAAACAACTATTTTATATTGGAATAATTATTAAAAAAAAGATTTCCCAAAAACCTCAACAATTTACAGAAGTGTGTGTCCACAAAGCAGTGCTATAGTAAATTGCTATATATTTATTGTATTGACAAATTCAGTAGTGCACAATATATTAAAACTTACATCACATGCCTTCAGTACACCACTTGCTCTTTTGCTGCACAGTCCACGCACATAAAGAATAAAATTCCTACTTACCTAAACTACAATACACTGATATTACAAATTTATAGTAAAAATTGCAACTAAATATATCCACTTCAGTTCATCAGATCTAAAATATTTAGATCAGATCTAATATATTCAGCAGTGTTTACCGGGCTTACATAGTCTTAGGTCTGCGTACGGCCATTTTCAAATAACGAGTGGGCAAAGCGTTAAGGCTTCGCGCACTTTAAGATATCATTAGATATGTAGTTTGTTCCCCAGCGTAAAAGCAGTGCGTAGAACATAACATGTAAGTTAGACAAAGAATTTTAAACTTTACTCTTGCAAAACGATAATCATACTTGCTACATTAGTGCGAAGATTACGAGGATTTGGCATATTATTATGCGACCATCATGGCCGACAGTATACTTGGAGTGAGCTCCGTTAGTTGGACTCAAATCAATTCCTTTAACTGGGATGTTAATGAAATAATTCGTTATAAAGACGAGAAATGTTTTACATATGATGGAAGAAGGTTTAAGTGGTCTGACACTTTCGAAATGCTAAAGTTATTCACGAATATTTTTACAAATCAGTCTGGTTCCTGGTCTGCTCCTGGTGGCAAATATAAGAAGTTTTGGAGCCCCGATATCGATCTAACCATTTCATGGAATTATGATCTTGGCAATCTTTCCTTTAAGGGTAAAATACGCGATACCCTAAGAACCTTACTCATTCATATGAGTGAATTAACACCAGTGCACATGCTGTCGGAAAGTAAATCACTCGACCCTACTCGGAGTGTCGTAAACAACTCGTCGGAAGCTGTTCAAATTATGTCAGAACTCGGCGAAAATGGCATAGTTAATCATAATACAGATCCCCATAATGTAAATGAAATATCTGGCTCGGATGGTTCAACTTTTTGTGAATCCCTAGATCAACTGCAGGAATTTATTGACGTCTCATATCAACAGACTTTGGCACACGATATACCCCAAGCACAATCTATAGACAGTTTAACCCCGTTAAAGTTACGACCGGACAATTCTTCGATCCTGAGCCTTGTACAAGATCAGTTTGAGTCATTTAAAAAATCAGTGGAGTCTAAATTGGCAGCTTTGATGACAAAAGTTGTCGAACAAGCAAGAGTCATTGAAAATAACAACAAGGAGTTGGGTAATCTATCAAACGAAAATTTGCATTTAAGGTCACGCCTGTCTGATTTGGAGAAGAAAGTGCTCACAGAGAATGCTTCCACAGGAAAAAAATTGTCATCCAGGGAAGATTGAACCAACGTAAGCATAAAGTCAATCAAACAACCCTCTGCTAACAACCCTCTCCAAACGGCCTCGCCCGGAATTAATCATGGGCACGCTTACAAATCAGTCAGAAAACAACGTAGTGAATCTCCTTCGAATGGTATTAGCTTCGAAAGTAAGCTAAGAGAATACCAAACCAAACATCTAGCACAACATCCCCCCATTGCCTCACCCGGAATTAACCGGGCCTCACCCGGAATTAATCATGGGCACGCTTACAAATTAGTCAGAAAACAACGTAGTGAATCTCCTTCGAATGGTATTAGCTTCGAAAGTCAGCTAAGAGAATACCAAACCAAACATCTATCACAACATCCCCCCATTGTACACCAAGCCAAACAACATATCCCGGGTTATACCACCAAAACTGATCCTATATCGTTTGCAAGACAGAAAAATTCGAAAGGTCGGTCTTTTTGGGGAGGTATAGTTACAGTTCCACCCGACCAAATACAGCAAGAACATGTTCGCAAACGTCGACTGAAATCCCGGGGCCTAGAGCAGAGGAACCATTTACGATTAGTCAGACTAATCATGTCAACAAAAGTATAACACCCCCAACAAACCGAAATAATGAATATTCCAATTATAATCTGACATCTCATATAAGTCGATCGATATCTGTCAGAATTACCAGACGCAAGTCAGTTTATAATGATACATTTCCTTCAACCAGTCGGAGCCATAAAAGAAACTATTCACAAAACCCACAAAACCTTTTATCTATAAAACCTAAAAGGAATGTTGATGTTTCGCGATATTTTGTTCCCTCGGTCCTTTTATCCAACACTATGTCCTTATCACCTAAGATTGATGAAATTTCCCACACGTTAAACTCTATTAGCGCTGATATTGGTCTCTTTACCGAAACCTGGTTGCAGGATACCGTTCCTGATGACGCAATTAATATTGAAGGATATCAACTGTTTAGGAGAGACCGTGCAAATAGAATTCATGGGGGTGTGTGTATGTATGTCAAAGAATCAATTCACTGTAAAATCTTATCTGACTTTTATCATACAGATCATGAAGTTTTTTGGGCATATCTTAGACCAAGGCGACTACCTCGTGGTTTCTCAAATATTGTAATAGCGGTGGTGTACCAACCTCCAAGTGCGAACGATGTAGAAATGAAAGAATATCTTATACAATCCCTTGAACGTTTAGAAGCTGAATATCCACATTGTGCTGTCTTCCTAGCTGGCGATTTCAACAAAACCCTTCTTCCCTTGGTTAAATCTGCTGTAAAAAACTTCCAACTCAAGCCCATGGTTAAACAACCTACAAGAGGGGACAATATTTTGGACCAAATTTTTACAAATTGTAAAGAGTACTTATCAGATTCTGTCCGAATTTTACCACCCTTTGGTTATTCCGATCACCGAACAGTATTTATTGAGGCAAAAATTCGACCTAAACCTTCAAAGCCACGAAATAGAATAGTTGTGTTTAGAGACAAACGGCCTACCAAGGTAGCAAGCGTTGGTAGATTTCTACAACAGGTTCCTTGGCTTGAGTTACTCTCTAATTATCAAACATGTGAAGAAAAGCTCAAGCTACTGACTGAAATCATAAACTATGGACTAAATACTATCATGCCTGAGCAATGTATCAAAATGCATGAAAATGATCGACCCTGGTTGAACACTCGGTTAAAAAAAATGATAAATAGCCGTCAAAAAGCTTTCTCTTCTGGAAATAGAATCCTATATAAAATGCTGAGAAATAAAGTTAATCGGGAATGTAAACATAGTAGGAAAACCTATTATGAAAGTAAAATTGGTCAAATGAAGGACTCTACGCCCAGAGATTGGTGGAGAGAGGTCAAAAATCTTTGTGGTATTAATAAAAACAGTCGTCGTGACCTAAGATCCCTTTTACACCCTGATCTTGTGTGTGATGATTTTACTCTTACGAATAACATAAACAAAGCGTTTATCAGCGTAATGAATGATTACTCGCCTCTGACAGATTATACATGCGTGGATGCGGTTGATGATGAACCTTTGTATGTTACCGAAGAATCTGTGGCAAGGAAACTAAGAGCGATTAAGATATCTCGCGCCAGTGGACCTGATAACCTTCCAAATTGGGTGCTCAAAACGTTCTCGGACATTATCGCAAGTCCTATTACTGATATATTGAACACCTCATTTACCGAATGTAGAGTGCCTAACGTTTGGAAACTCGCAGATGTTTGTCCTCTGCCAAAGTCGTCTCTCATTTGTGATTTTAACAACGACATCAGACCAATTTCTCTTACGTCGACTCTGTCGAAAGTTGCGGAAAGCTTTGTGATTGATATGGCTTTAAAACCGGTTATGTTGTCTATTGTTGATCCACGACAGTTTGGATTTATCCCAGGTTCATCGACAACTATGGCACTAATCGATATGTTTCATCATTGGTTATCTGCCACTGATGGGACATCGTCCACAATAAGAACTGTTCTCTTAGATTTTCGGAAAGCCTTTGACCTAGTAGACCATCATATACTGATCGCTAAACTATTCAGCATAGGAGTAAAGCCAACCATCGTTAATTGGATTATTGATTTCTTACGTCATCGGCAGCAGAGGGTTAAATATGATGGTACTTTTTCCAACTGGGTTGATGTCCACGCTGGAGTTCCCCAGGGTACTCGTCTTGGTCCATGGCTCTTTCTTATTCTAATTAACGATCTACGATTACCAGATCAGATCTCCCAAATGTGGAAGTTCGCTGACGATATCACATTATCCGAAGTGATTACCCAATCTAATGAAAGTTCCATTCAGGACGCCGTTGATTATGTTAACTTGTGGTCTAAAGAGAACCATCTACAACTTAAACCTACCAAATGTAAAGAAATCCAATCATGTTTTAAGATAATCCCTCCATCTTTCGTTCCAATTGAGATAGATTGGATAAAATTTGATAAAGTTAGTACTGCAAGACTTCTCGGTGTTACTATTCGTGACGATTTTAATTGGATAGATCACGTTAAAACCATAACTGCCAAGGCCTCAAAGCACCTATATCTCTTAAGACAACTTAAAAGAGCGGGACTCAGTGTTGATGATATGAAAGCCTTTTATTGTAGTGTTGTCCGATCAGTACTGGAATATTGCTGTCAATTGTTTCATAGAAATTTCCCCAATTACCTCTCGAATGATCTTGAACGCATTCAGAAGCGTGCATTGCGGATTATTTTCCCTCATCAAAGTTATAATGAAGCACTGAAAGAGGCATTTATTCCCACCCTCTTTGACAGGCGAGAAATGCTATCACAAAGTCTTTTTAAAGATATTGTTGTCAATGGAAACCATAAACTTGCTGGTTTACTTCCCCCTCGTAATAGCTGTAATGGTTTTCTGAGAAATAATAGAACTTTTAACACGCCACAATGCCGAACAGATCGTTTCAAAAACTCTTTTATAATGAGTTTTAGTACTGAAGCAAATTTTGCTAATTGATAACAAGTTGTATATATGTATTGTTTTCAATTTTAAATGATTGTATATATCTAATCTAAAGAACACATAATTGTGACTTTGACTAAAAAGGTCTAATAAGTTGTAAATATATATTGTTCCTTATTTTATTATGTATTTTAAATTATCGTATATATTTGCATGTAAAAGACACATAATTCAGTCTCATGACTGCCAGTGTCTCTTTTCTCTAATAAATTTTCAATTTTTTTTTTTTTTAAAGTTTAGTCCAGTGATTACTGTATAATATGCCAGGTGCGCATTACGGTATATGGCGTCACAATGCATGGAACATTCTCCTATGTTTAACAGGCGATTAGGCTAAAATGTAAAATCATTGACATTGTTGTTTAAACGCCGCAAATTATAGACTTAGAAGCAGGCTATATAGCTGAAAGTTTAAGGATGTTTCTCATGTCTTATTGTCTTCTTGTTTTAATACGCGCGCGCGACGCTAGTTAAAACTTGGAAACGCATGTAAGGCCGACGGGCGACAAATTGTATGCATATATGTATAACGAGTTAACCGATGTAATAAATAGTATAACAATAATTACAAGAATGCAAATAACTTAAAATGTTACAGCGCATCTAAAATATACAAAATTTAAATTACTATCAAACTTATGGATCGGTGAAAATCGCGTCGCGTTATTCAATAGCGTCCGGTGTGTATGGACATGATGAATCTTTTGCGACTAGCAGAAAATGCAGAACGAATTAAATTATTACAATGTTTGTCCATATACAGGTGAATATATATTTCTAATCATAATTTTATATTTAGACATGTAGAAATGTAACGTATCATACCGTTTAGCGGATTTAGTGTGATTTCGTTGTCACTGCTGCTAAATCCAATTCCAACAGGCGAAGAGTACAGGCTAGATAGCTGTGAGTGAACATGCATGAGTCGTAAAATCCCCAGGAAAGCTCGTCACTAAATATCATCATAAAAATTGTGTAGATATAGACTATAGTTCATATACTATATTCAATTATACAGAATGCTTATTTGTGATCCCTTACCACTTTGCGGACTCCTCGTGTTCTCATGGTCACTGCTGAAGCCAATACTGATAGGCGAACTGGCTTCTATTTCTCTCTCTCGAAGAGTTTTAATAGTGTACGGCGCCGCCGGTTTTGGCGAGGATAAAAATCCAAACCCACAAGGCGACGACATAACTACAATTATGCGTTTTAGCCTTTTACCGTTTTCTTCAAAATATTTCAGACAAGTTTATAGTTACGAAGTTAGAAGACAGCCAGTTTTCACTAAGATCAGCTTACACCCTTCTAAGTTTTCAAATGTTTTCCGTTATTATGATTTTTGTCGCTAATTGGTATAAACGCTTTTGATTGGTTGAGTTTTGAACCTTTTAACAATGAAAAATTCCTCAGTTACCTACGGTTTTGTGTTCTCGAACGCTGATTTGTTGAGCCGCAAAGACGCTATCACCTTGTATGACGCTAACACCTTGTTTGACGCTATCACCTTGTTTGACGCTATAAAACCTTGCCAAAATATACTCTATTCCCTCTGCCAAATACACCAGCAGTTTTGTTCAGCAAGGTTTATTCAGCAGTCAACAAACAGTATTTTAAAAGATGCCTTCTTTCAAATGGTCAATTCGAGTAAATGAGCACAAAGCGTACGTGTTTGTCAACGGTATTCGGTATTCCAAAAATAATGTAGGGTATTCGCATGTTCTGCGCGCTGAAGTGGGAAAAGTTAATAATGGCGTAGCTGTAAAGGTATGATTTTTAATTTTTTGAGTTTCTTACTGTGATTAATATAAAGATAATATTATAAAGGATAATGTATTTGGTATTATATACTGTAGTATTGGTATCTACCTGCTGAAATGATATGCTACGTGCACCAGCGACCTAGTTTTATATGTTTGTTGTAAGGAACTGATAACCATATTGGCACCAGTTGTATAAAAATACAGTAAAGCGACTTTTAAAATACTCTTCCCCAACTCACTATATTCCAGCGCTTAATCGCGCTTTACTGCGTGTCATTGCCTTGAAGCGCAATATCTGATATAATTGAACTACAAGTAAAATCTCCTAGCGAGGTTCACTTAGCCCTCGCTTAGCGTTCACAAGTTGTATACTAAAACGCACGCTGTGACATAATCGTTTCATCAATTAATATGAGTAAAACCAAGGTTTAGTAATAATGGACTGAAACTTCACACTATCATTGGATCACTAGCTTTCTTCCTTCAGTTTATTCACCTATTTGCGCAGTAGCCCTATATTTTAAAGCAGTTTCCCGTAAAAAACATAATTAAATATTATGCAGTATAACATTCCAACTAAATTGATCTATTTTTATGACTGTTTCAGTTGCTGTAGCTGCTGCAGCTATGAAGGAAGGAAGGAATGTTTTATGTTTAACACCCAATGAAGAGGAAGCAAGGAACGTATTGCGCAAAATTTGTGTCAATTGCAAATGACAATGCATGTGTAATTTGTTGTTTTATAAATGTTTTTATAAAACTAATTATATAATTCAATATACATGATTCTTTGCATTTGACTTTAGTATTTTGGTTGTGATGTGAAGGTCTGCAGATAAACTAAATTTTGGCAGACTCAAGTCGCTTTAGGTTCTGGAATTCAGCTACCGAATTTTTCACTGTTCGGTTTCGCTGCATGCATTGTCGGTTGATAAATAAGATTTTGACAGAATCAAGCCGTTTTAGGTGTCTGTTGTTGAAATCCATAAAACGTTGATCACAGACTAAAATTTGCCTCTAAAATCTCATCTCTGCTTCGATGCATTTGATTTATGAATTATGCACATATGATTTAAACAAACAGTGAAACCAATATTTTTCTGAAATTGGGCTACACTCTGAAAAAGTGCTTTTTATTTCAGTACACGATCGGTGACAGTACAAACTGAAATCCAGCCTTTAATCTCAGGACATTTAATTGTTTATAGCAGATTTGTGACAAACTCACACCGTTTATGGCGTCTGAAATTTAGGTTCCCAATTTATTGCTTGTCGGTTAACATGGGATTTTGAATTTTTGGCAGGCTGAAACGATTTTAGGTGTCTGAAATGCAGATACCTTCTTTATCTCAGTTTGGTTAATATATCCGATTTTGGCAGACTCAAACTGTTTAGGTTTCTGAAATTCAGATACCTTAATTTATCTCAGGTTGGTTAATATATAAGATTTTCGCAGACTAAAGCCCTTTTAGGTGTCTGAAATTCAGATACCTTATTTATCTCAGGTCTGTTAATATATAAGATTTTGGCAGACTCAAACCGTTTTAGGTGTCTGAAATTCAGATACCTTATTTATCTCAGGTCTGTTAATATATACGATTTTGGCAGACTCAAACCGTTTTAGGTGTTTGAAATTCAGATACTTTAATTTATTGCTTGTCGGTTAATATATAAGATTTTCGCAGACTAAAGCCGTTTTAGGTGTCTGAAATTCAGCTTCCAAATTTATTGCTTGTCGGTTAACATTAAAAGATTTTGAATTTTTGACAGACTCAAACCATTTTAGGTGTCTGAAATTCAGAAACCTTATTTATCTCAGGTCGGTTAATATATACGATCTTGGCAGATTAGAGCCCTTTTAGATGTCTGAAATTCAGCTTCCCAATTTATCATTTGTCGGTATCATTTGGCAAACTCAGATTTGTTTTAGGTGCCTGAAATTCAGATACCTTATTCATCTCGGGTCGCAGTTAATAGAATGATGTCTCGTTTAGTTCAATACGTTGTTTTTGGCAGAGTCCCTAAAAACTGTCTGCAAAAAACGCCAATTTGATTTCATTAATTTAAATTTTTGAATTTTTTGTTTTTTTTCATTAATTTTGGGGAAAAAAGATTAGTTTGGAATTGTTGAAAATAGTTTGGAACGCGTTTTAACAACAAATTAATTATTAATCAACAAACAATAAATTCAATTACTAAACAATTTGCACAGAAAAGGTGGGGCTAATTTAAACGCCACAAGGCTCCTTGGGTAAAGGAGACAAACCCTACACCGTCATGACAAGGCATCCACAGACAGACTTGTAAAATCGGCAAAACAAATAATATATAAAACATGCATATAAGAAACCCACATATAAGAATCGCAGCAAGGAAAAGGTACAGATCTCCAACCAGTCGTGCCCGTGCATTGACCGGCCGAGTATCTGCAACCGGAGTCGCAAATATGAAAATAGTGACATGAGGTAGAGTAGCGCAGCATATTATTCATGATAAATGATGGTTACCATGGCAACAATAATTTTCATTATGATGATCTTGATCATATTTAGCATATTATTCATGATAAATGATGGTTACCATGGCAACTATGATTTTCATTATGATGATCTTGATCATACTTAGCATATTATTCATGATAAATGATGGTTGCCATGGCAACCATAATGATGGTTGATATGGCAACCATAATTTTCAATATGATGATCTTGATCATATTTAGCATATTATTCATGATAAATGATGGTTACTATGGCAACCATAATTTTCATTATGATGATCTTGATCATATTTAGCATATTATTCATGATAAATGATGGTTGCTATGGCAACCATTATCATCATTTTTATGATAATGATCAAAATTAACATATTAATCATAATAAATTATGGTTGCAATTTCAACCATGATGATCATTATGATGATCTTGATCATATTTAGCATATTATTCAAGACAAATGATGATTACCATGGCAACCATAATTTTCATTATGATGATCTTGATCATATTTAGCATATTATTCATGATAAATGATGGTTACCATGTCAACTATTATCATCATATTGATGATAATGATTAAAATTAACATATCATTATGACGATGTGTATCATATTTAGCATATTATTCATGATAAATGATGGTTACCATGGCAACTATGATTTTCATTATGATGATCTTGATCATACTTAGCATATTATTCATGATAAATGATGGTTGCCATGGCAACCA